GTGTTAGGAAGTCGCACACTCGCAGCCTTTCTAACGATTATAATTGCAAAAGAATTCAAGAAGAAAACTAGAGCAAAGAGTTTGAACAAAAGTTTGGATTTTTGTATTGATATCTGAATGATTAAATTAACAAGAGGAAGGGCCTTTATATCGGCATCAACTAGATCTAGTCCTAATATAACTATAACTCTAACAAAGCAATAAAATATTAAGTATACTAAACAAACTAGAAAACAAGGAAATAAAATATTAATTAAGCTATTTAATTGATTTCTTGCTTGCGCCCCAAACCGCCTTGCCCGCGTCCGCGTTGCCTAATCGCCCAAGGACTAGGGCTTCATCTTCCATTCCCGCGCACGCGTTCAGCAGCTCGCCTAATCCTCGCGCGCCTAGGCAAGTTCGCGCGTGCATCCCGTCGCCTGCGCGTTCAGCCCCGCGCTCGACCCCAATAATATCGAGCGCGTCATCTTCCGCGCGCGCTTGCCATACGCGTATCGCGCCTCTCCGGCACGACGACTTAGCCTTCTTCGCGCATGCCACGCGCGACTTGTTGCATTCTTGAGTCTTCTCGCCGTGTCCGCATCAGCGCGACAACACGCGCGCGAGAAGGACAACAGCAGCGGGGCGCGCGCACCAGCGCGCGAGTGGAGTGCGGACGCGGGCGGAGGCCTAACACTCATAGGCTTAGGAATGCTGGGCGCACACGCGTCAGAGGAAGGCGGTGGGCAAGATGCGCACACGAAAGAAAATGTGTGCAGCGCGCGTGCGAGAGAGACCGAATACGCCAAGGAGTAGGCGTGCGAAAGCGGCGTGCACAAAGGCGGCGTGCGAGAGGGCGCTGAAGTATTAAGGGGCGAATTACTTGTGCTTCAAGATGATTGGAGTGCAAGTCAAGCAAATAATAATTATAGTAGTATTAGGATTTTATTACCATGTTGCTTTTTATTCTAGAATTAGGAGATCTAATTAGCTTAGGCTTAGATTTATTTTATGCACCTATAAATATGGCTCTTCCCTCATTGTTGTAATAGTCCAGAATTGATGAGTTGAGTAGAAAAGGAACGTTTGTTCAAACCGTGTGTTAGGATTCGTGAGAGTTCGATCATGCAATCGAATTCGTGAGGCTAAGACCCGAGCTACTTCAAAATCGAGGAAGCAAGGCTAATTACCGAGTGAACTCAAGTATCGTGAGAGAGTTAGGCTAATAACCGATTCGATCACACCTATCCGTCGAGAGCAAGTCGTGGCGAGGCTGTGTTCGATGCAAGCGAGTGGAACAAACACACGATCCTTCATCATTGGTGCTTTCATTGAGAGTGATTGATTGTGTGGTTTGTTAAACTTTTCTATCCCATTCTTTTTTCTTTTGTCCGATTTTTTCCCCCTCTAGTTCGAAATTTTTCAAATTTTTCTTCTTATTTTTCAAAAATTTTCGAGAGTATCAAAAAAAAAAAATAGAGAGTCATGACGAATCGTGAAAGGTTCGATATGCTTGAGGAAAGCGTGAGGTCCCTTGGCAATGGCAACACGTGGTCAATGACAACATGGCGAAGCTGGAGCTCATGATACACCACTTGGCGGGAAAGCTCGAGAGAGTTAACCACCACACGTGGAGGAGCCGCACATCGAGATCAACCATGGCAGGAACAGGCAGTTTGACATGTAGTCGCGATGACGACGACAAACGGTCGCGGGCGACACGCGCGACGTGCATAACCCGACACCACGGCGATCGAAGGACGCAGTGCCATCAACATCATCGCGAGGAGCACGTACGTGCGAAACCAAAGATTACGATGCCAACGTTCGAAGGAACAGATCCGGATGGTTGGTTAAGTCGTGCCATGCAATTTTTCGAGATCAATGAGGTACACAAGTCCGAAAGAGTTCAAATTGCTGCCTACTACTTGGATGGTGAAGCCAACACGTGGTGGCAATGGGTGTCACATGTTTACAAGAACAAAGGCAAACAAATCAGATGGAGAGATTTTGAGAAGGAGCTGATTACCAGGTTTGGATCTAGTGATTATTTCGATTATGATGAGGCCTTGACAAGGATCCGCCAAACTGGTAGTCTACGTGACTATAAAAAGGAGTTTGAGAGGATTGCGAGCCGGGTACGCGATTGGCCCGAGAGTGCACTTGTTGGTGCATTTGTAGGAGGCGTGAAGGCTGAGCTGGTTGCGGAAGTACGGCTGGATAGGCCAAGATCGACAAGGGCTGACATGGAAGCAGCGCGACTGCACGGGGATCATCTCGCGGCAGTGCGCAAGGCGAGGCCGAGCGAGGGGCGCACTGACGTTCGGCGCGCGAGCGTCGCGGTCGATGATACGCCCCCACGGGCCGAGGTGAAACCAGCATTTGGCGAGGGTACGCGCACCACGAGCGGCGTACGACGACTCACAGACGAGGAGATGCAGCGGCGAAGAGAAAAGGGCCAATGCTACACATGCAACGACAAATTTACACCGGGCCACAAATGCAAAGGTAAGGAAGTCTTTTTGTTGGAAATTGGAGAGTATCATGAGAAAGAGAAGCCACAGGAGGAGTCCTTTTTTCATGTGGTTAAGTGCAAAAAGCATGATCCCAAGATGATCAGGTTCATGGTTGAAATAAAAGATATGCTGCTAGAGGTATTGGTCGATAGTGGGTCGAGTTTGAATTTTATTGACGAAGGAATAGCCAGGCGACTGAAGTTGGAACCCACAAAGGTCAAGAAGTTTGGAGTCAAAATAGCCAATGGACATGAATTATAGGGTAATCAATTGTTCAAGAAGGTTCCAATTATGGCACAGGATCAAGAGCTAGAAATTGACCTCTACGCCTTACAGCTTAAGGCAACGGATATCGTGTTGGGAGTATAGTGGCTCGAGACACTTGGGCCCATTACAACCGAATATAGGCTAGGAAATATGCAATTTGGGCGACCAGGGAAGCACATTAAGTTAAGAACGTAAGATCAAGGCGACTCGCCAATCGAGGAGCACGATAGCGATGTTGATGTAAAGACCCGCGATGATATTGTGATTTTTGTGAATAATTTGTATATTTTCTGTAAATTCGAAAATTTAAGGGAGAAGATAGATTTGCAGAAAGATAGAGAGGATGAGAGAAATAAGAGAGAAGAAGGGAGAAATGAGTTTGTGAATAACTGATTTGATGCCTTTTTCATTCACTCATGCGGTATTTAACAAACTAGTGGGCCCCAATTGTTTTTTCCCTTAGTTGGGTAAAACCCCTCTCAACAAACTCACTAAAGACAAAAGATGCCAAAATAAAAGGAAACTAAAATAATAAAAATAACAATGAAAATGCAAAATTCAGCTTCACTCTAGTGCGCCCACGTGTACGGCTGGATTGTTCCCTCTTTGAATCTGATCAACGGTCATGAGGGTAGCACGTGGCGAGATCCCCCTCTTCTTGCTCTTGTTCGGACATAACCCTATCTGCTGTCATTTCCCCCATTTCTTCAAGCTCGATTTTTCCCTTCTCTTCACCTTCATCACCGTATAATCCTTCCATCTCACCCGATTTCTCGATGTCAATTAACAGATTCATAACAGTTGATGTGCTGAATTTTTTAATCCTTGAGTACAAGGAAAGTCTTGAAGAGGAGGGGAATGATACGGGAGTGGTGTTCAACCCCGGCAAGGCTAGTGAGCGGTGCAAGCGATGGCGTGCGCGGGTAAGAATGGCGCATGGCTAATGGTCGACACACGGGTAGCTTTGGGAGCACATGGGCGCGCGGTAGGCAAGCAGGCCGCGGGCGTGGGATGGTACGCGCGGGCAGCAAGCGACGGGTAAGCGGGGCGCGCTAAGCGTGCAGGTAAAGGACACGCGGGCGGGAGTCGAGACCGCGTAGGCGTAGGAGTTGCGAGCGCGCGACAACACACGCGCGAGATGGACTGCAGCAGCGGGGCGCGTGATACGGAAGTGGTTGTCGAGGCCGAAGAGTGGTCGGGGGTGACCGACGGTAT